TTCAATCTAGTAATCCCAAAAAATTAATTTCATTCAATTTTATCCGCGGTGAAAAAAAATAAATGCATTCAAAATAGACATTTCTTAATTCTTATCATTATTGGACCTTAATTGAAAACGTGTCTTCCAACCATTTTGTCTCTTGACTTCCTTGAGATGATTTGTTAAAAATAATCTCATAAATCATAAGAACCTTTCATAAGTATTCAAACAGTTAAACGCTCAAATATATGAAAAAAATGGTATTCTAAAATCCATAAATCACACCTTTGGTTCTTCTTCAATTTTTTAATCGGGTTTAATCTTTTAAAAGTCCAGATCAAGAGAGAACATCATTCTAAACAATTCTAATGCAGGATGCTCGGCCAAAACGATTTTCTTTACTATAATTATCGTAATGCAAGTTTGATAGCATTTATTTTCGGTTGTCTAAACTTTTTTTTCAACAATGTTTTTTAAATATAATTTGCTCTTGGATAAATGTATTCATTTCACATTAAATATCAAGAGATTTTCAAATAATTGAAATTTTATAATCTACTTATGCATTACAAAATAAATTATTCAATTAGATCTATGGAAGAACATCAAACTTGTTACATTTCCACCAAAAACAAAATAAATCTCATAATCTATGCCTTTGATTTCTACCGAATCAAATCTACCAATACTAAATATATTAGAATAAGGTATCAATATCTTCTATGTTCAGTTTGTTGTTTTGTTGTTCTTTCTCTCGTGATACAAAATGGCAGACTCGTGTTAAGTAAAAAGTGTTGAAAAATATGTGAGAGTAAATAATTTCAAGAGTTTTTCCAACGTTGTTATGTAATGAACTAGACAACAACATATAAAAAGTGTACATGTCATTGTTAAGTAAGCAAAATTACAGAAAAAGAAGTAACAAATTTTCCAACAAGAGTTCATGTTATACTACTCCCAACAGAATTTTGTTTAATAATGAAAATTTCTTTCTTTTTTCCATTTTAAATGTTTTTCAGGCGAATTTTCTAACCATCCAATGAAACACACCCATCCACTCATGGCCAAGAGAGTTAATTGCTTTCTTTTTTCCATTTTAAATCTAGCTGACGACTATTAAATTTTAAAATGAAACAAGAGTTGAGATGAAAAACCATATTATCCATCACAACTTGAGGTGAACCCAAGGGAGAATGTTAATGCAATCACGAGAGTTAACACTCTGATCGTTCTCTCTTTTAGACCCCTAGTTTTATCTTCTCTTAAGGCAACACGAGGGGTAAAGTTTGATCCTGGAACGACCAAAATTTTCTATTAAAACAAGGTTATTATGGTTAGAAATCACGTAACTCCACAATAGTATGATGTTGTCCACTTTGAGCATAAGCTCTCATGGTTTTGCCTTTGATTTTTCCCTTGTACCAATGGAGATATATGTCTTATTTATAAACTCATGACCATTCTCTTAATTAGTCAATGTAGAGTTACTTTTAATAATTTTCAACACCCACTGCATACATGACATGTCTAATATGCGTGAAAAAGTTCAATTAACACATTTTGTAAACGATTTCATGGACTTAAATGTTTGTAAAACCCCTTTGAAATAAAAGTATCTATCAAGGAAATAATGAAAACAGTTTGATCTAACCTAAGGGCTACAATTTAAGCATAAATGCAGCTATCTTCACTTCAATAATGATCTCCACTACAATGTCGTCATCCATACAAGGAATACTTATTTTACTGAAAAAATAAGAGTGGTACGTGGCTTGAGTATTTTAAGAAATACTTAGTAAGTAACTCCACTATTAGGGTCAAAAAATGCTACACAAGCAATTATGGTGGGACCTATCCTTTCATAGAAACATTTCATGGTCTTGATCTTTGCTTTCCAATCTAGGCAAAAATTGAATGTGTAGTAATGCCTTATACACAACTCACGTACATGCAAATGGACCCACTAGGCAGGTGTATACACACTTCTGGGCCTGCCCTTCATAACGCACGCTGATGCTGCCGGAGTTAAGGAGGGAAAGGAGTCTGCATAATATCATGACGTACATAGATATCGTAACGTGTGTCCGTACTCATCACAACGGGGAAGTATCTTGACGCACTTGATATACAAAAATGCATGAGGTCTCCATAACTTTAAATCATGATATAGATGTATGATGTAGGTCTGATATGAACTAAGGTATTTCAATCATACAATATGAACTTAAAGAAAATTGTGAAGAATGTTGTTCAAATTACCACAAGATAAAGTTAAGTTACATTAAGTGAAGTTAAGTTTTATTGAAGTTAAACTCAAGTTGCAATTAGTTTCACATTAAGAAGAATCAAGTTTCATTTATTGAACAAAGATTTCAAGATACTTCAATTGAGACTTAATTTATTCTTAAATGGTTACAAATTTATGTTGGATGATTAAAATCTAGATTTATGGTGTCTCATTAATGTATTTAAAGTTTTAAGACTTTTTATTTATCTTTAGTTACATTTACATACTGAATAATTATGGTCATAAAGTATAAAGGTTACAACTTGAAAGGTGAAAGGTTTCATTTTGAGGTTATATAAAGCCATGTATGTTATTTTGCAAAGGGGCTTGAAAAATGTAGTAAAAAGAGCATTTGTGCTTGTCTTTACCATTGTCTAAGTTTCTTTGCAATTCTATATAGTTTAGGTTATATGTTTAGAATCATTCAAGTTTGACATGATCAATATTGCTTGTAAAATTATTCAAATTTGAAACAAATGTTCTTAACTTGAGATATTTGATCAACAAGGTAGTTCTTTTTTAGTGATTTCTTATCAAAGTCGTACATCCAGTTTTTCATAAAGATAACTTTCATGAATACAGACGTGGCGTATTAGTAATTCATAATCCTGAAATAATCATGCTAAAATAATGTGCATGACATATCATTTAGTAGTATTATGCATCATACAACATAGAAGTCACAATAGGAAATATAATATAACATTAACATCTCATAGTCTAACTTACAATATAACATATTATAACATAAGTCATAACATAATGTAATACATGTCATACATTCATAAAAACGACATATATAGGAGTCACAGAGCACATGTCATTCATACTTCATTCAATTCATCCCACCAAGCCAATATTGATACTAGCCTAGCCGTTACTAAGTAAGGGTATTTATTTGGTTGACCTAGTATAGAGTTACTAATTATTGGTACTGGCCTGAATCTACTCCATAAGGTCTAATTCAATCTCAGATCCATCATCTTGAAGATATTAATTAAAACAAAATGACGCTAAGGATCAATCACCTTGTAGTAGGGGTGTACATGGGTCGGGTTGAGGGAATTTTTTGGACCAACCCAAAAGTTCGATTTAGTTGGATCGGTAATCCAACTCAACTCGAAATTGATTCACAACCCAATCCAACTCAACTTCTAATTTCGGGTTAGGTTTGGGTTGGGTTGAGTTATAGTTGTTCAAAAGAAGAACTCTGATATTGAAGCACTTGAGGTTGAGGTTAAAGCTGAGCAATTAGGAGGCAACAAATGTGAACCCAAGAGCTGAAGTTGAATCGAGACAAGAATTCGAGAACTGAATACTGACTCCGAGGGCGAGATTGAGGCGCGATGAGATCGAAGGTAACTGGTAGTTTAACCCTCTACTCTGACCTCTTAAACCCGAGGCGATGCTCTCAAGCTCTCTACTACTCGCTCCATGATACAAGAGTCGAAAGGTGATGGAAAACGTAGAAGGAAACGAAATGGAAACTGGAAAGCTGCTGGAAAATATTAAGAAGATATTTTGGAGTAATAATTAGTTAGAATATATCTGAGATATTTAGGGAGTTGTTAGTATAGATTTGATTAACCGTATATTTTATTTATTTACAAGATTTAGTTAGTTATATATTTTTTTTTCTATTTTTAGGTATTAGTTGATAGTTTGTATCCTATTTAAACGTGATAAACTGAATGAAGATCATACTTTTCGATCCCAATTCTATTTCTATTTCTCATTCTTAACATGGTATCAGAGCGCCGATCTTGGTGTTCTTAAATATCAAAATTTACTTTATGGCGGAATCAGCCAAATCCAGCTTCAAAATTTTGGATGTTGATTTAACACATCCTTACTATATTCATCACTCTGATCAGCCAGGATATTCACTTGTTCCAATCAAATTAAATGGAGCAAATTACCAATCCTGGAGTAAATCAGTTATGCATGCTCTTATTGCCAAGAAGAAAATTGGCTTCATTGATGGCACACTTGAGGAACCATCCCAAGATGCAAATTCAACCGAATTCGAACTCTGGAATCAGTGCAACAGTATGATAATATCTTGGTTAACTCATTCCGTTGAAGCAGATATCGCTAAAGGCATTATTCACGCCAAGACAGCTCATTAAGTGTGGGTTGATCTTCACGATCAATTCTCACAAAAGAATGCTCCAGCAATTTTTCAAATACAAAACTCGATAGCAACGATGTCACAAGTAACCATGGCACTGTCAACCTATTTCACCAAGCTCAAAGCACTCTAGGATGAACTAGAAGCGTACCGCACACCATTTACCTATAATCAATGTCAAATACATATTGATCAACGCGAAGAAGACAAGTTGATGCAATTGCTCATGGGGCTCAATCAGTCTTATAAAACGGTGAGATCTAACATATTGATGATGTCTCCGTTACCTAATGTGAGGCAAGCCTATTCATTACTTGTACAAGAAGAGATGCAGTGTCAGGTAACTTCCAAACCTATTGAGAATTTCTCGATTGCATCAGTAGTGCAGAAGAAAACAATATATTCAAAATTCGCCAAGGACAAATTGTGTGAACACTGCAATAAAAGTGGTCATACAATCAATGAGTGTTGAATTCTTAAGTTTCACTGTAAGTATTGTGATAGAAGGGGCCATACAAAAGATCGGTGTCGACAGAAAAATAATTCTGGAAGGACAAGACAAGTCAATCAACACAATAATCGTGGATATCGATCATCTGTAAATATGACCGATGTTTCACAGTTGAATACAAAAGAACAGTCACTTAATTCCATTCTAAATTTTTCTTCTGAGCAATTACGACAGATAGCACAAGTCTTATCTGCAATCAATCATCACCCTTCTGGTAATTCTGACAATCACATCAATGTTGCAGGTTTGTTTCCCATATCTACATTATCTATTAACTCTGCGAGTTCTAATTCATGGATTCTCGATAGTGGAGCTACGGATCATATAGTATCAAAATCTTCTGTTATGACTGAACCAAAGGCTGCCATCATGTCTACAATAAATTTGCCTAATGGAGAGACAGCACGTGTGTCACATACTGGCAATATTTCCCTTAGCCCTAACCTTAAATTAAACAACGTTTTATGTGTGCCTTCATTCAATTTAAACCTAATGTCGATCAGCAAACTTACCAATAACTTGAAATGTTATGTCACCTTCTATCCTAATTCTTGTTTTTATGTAGGACTTGGCTACGGGGAAGATGATTGGCTCGGGTAAACAATTTGGAGATCTCTATCATATTTCTTCATCTCCAATCAAATCTTCAGCTCATCAAGTATCTCAGTCATCTGATTTGTGGCATTTACGCCTAGGTCATCCTTCTTTTTCTCGTTTTAAATTTCTAGCTGATCAATTGCATCTTAATAATGCGAGTTATTCTCATAATTGTATTATTTGCCCGTTAGCAAAACAAACTAGGTTGTCTTTCTCAAGAAGTTCAATAACAACCCATTCTGCCTTTGATCTGATACATTGTGATGTTTGGGGACCACATAAAATTCCTACCCATTCTGGTTTGCGTTTTTTTCTCACTATTGTTGATGATTTTACTCGATGTACTTAGGTTTTTCTAATGCAACATAAGTCAGAAGTACATCATTTGTTAATGAACTTTGTTAAATTCGTTCAAACTCAATTTCATACTACTATCAAGATAGTTCGATCAGACAATGGGACTGAGTTCCTATCTTTGCAACCATTCTTTACTTTGGTATTGAATTTCAGTGCACTTGTGTCTATACTCCACAACAAAATAAAGTCGTAGAACGTAAGCATCGCCATATCCTAAATGTAGCTAGGTCTCTTCTTTTTCAGTCATAGGTTCCACTTAATTTTTGGGGAGAGTGCATTTTAACGGCTGTTTATCTTATAAATAGAACGTCATCACCATTGTTATCTAACAAGACACCCTTTGAAGCACTCTACAAACGACCACCTACATTTCATCATCTTAAAGTTTTTTGATGTAAATGTTATGCAACTATAGTACATCCTAAGCAAAAATTTGAACCTCGGGCAATTCCTTGTGTTTTCGTAGGATATCCTTGTGGTCATAAAGGTTACAAGTTGTATGACATGCAATCTCACAAATTCTTTATCAGCCGTGATGTTAAATTTTGTGAAGATGATTTTTCTTTTTCATCAGCTTCACAAACTTCGACATTAGCTCCTTCGACTCCTGTTGTACCACTTCATGATCCATCCTACTCAAACATCCATCCTCCACCTTCTATTCCTTCACCTCCTATCCCTTCACCTACTACTTCGTCGTCTCCTCCACCTTCTCCAGATTCGCCCACTAATTCCAATCCTATCCCACCTGATACATCAGCTCCACTTCGATGTTCTACTCGTACTAAGCAGCCGCCAGCTTGGCATAAGGATTATGAAATGTCTTCTGGAGCCAATCATTTTACCTCTAGCTCAAGTCCCGGCACTGACACCAGGTATCCCCTTCATCATTACCTTTCATTCTCTCGTTTTTCTCCTACTCAACGTGCTTTTCTAGCTCTTATTACATCTCAGACAGAACCTAAAACCTATGACGAGGCAGTTAGCGACCCGTTATGGCAGCAGGCTATGAATGATGAAATTGCAGCTTTGGAACGTAATCATACATAGTCTCTCGTTCCTCTACCACCTGGTCATAAAGCTATTGGTTGTCGTTGGGTGTACAAAATTAAATACAACTCTGATGGTTCTGTTGAACGTTATAAAGCTCGACTTGTAGCAAAGGGATACACTCATGTTGAAGGTATTGATTACACAGAAACATTTTCCCCTACAGCGAAACTTACTACACTTCGTTTCTTACTCACTGTTGCTGCTGCTCGAAAATAGTTCACCCATCAGTTGGATGTTCAAAATGCCTTTCTCCATGGTAATCTAGACGAGGAAGTTTATATGTCTTTACCACCAAGTCTTCGCCGACAGGGGGAGAATACAGTATGTTGGCTCCAAAAATCTCTTTATGGATTAAAACAGGCTTCTCGCAATTGGTTCTCCATATTTTCTACAACTATACAAAATGCAGGCTACACTCAGTCCAAAGTAGATTACTCTTTGTTTACTAAGAGTAAAGGTACTTCTTTCACTGCAGTTCTAATCTATGTTGATGATATTCTGTTGACAGGCAATGATCTCGAAGAAATTCAATATCTCAAGACTAGTTTACTCCAGAAATTTCTTATCAAAGATTTAGGAAATTTGAAATATTTTCTAGGCATTGAATTTTCTCGATCTAGAAAAGGAATTTTTATGTCTCAAAGAAAGTATGCTCTAGACATCCTTCAAGACACAGGTCTTACAGGAGCACGTCCAGACAAATTTCCTATGGAGCAAAATCTGAAACTTTCTTTAACTGAAGGAGAGAAGTTGAATGGTCCAAGTAAATACAGACGATTGATTGACATATTAATATATTTGACCGTCACTAGGCCTAACATAGCTTATTCAGTTCGTATGCTTAGCCAATTTATGCATGAACCAAGAAAACCACATTGGGAGGCAGCTCTTCGAGTTCTGAGGTACATCAAAGGCACTCATGGTCAAGGACTCCTACTGTCATCTGAAAACAATTTAAGATTACAAGCATATTGCGATTCTGACTAGGGTGGTTGCCGAACTTCCAGACGGTCTATTTTTGGGTTTTGCATTTTCCTCGGAAATTCAATTATTTCTTGGAAGTCTAAAAAGCAGACTAATGTGTCCAGATCATCAGCAGAAGCCGAGTATCGAGCTATGACAAATACTTGTTTAGAGTTAACTTGGTTAAGATACATTCTTCAAGACTTGGATGTTCCACTGTCCGAACCAGCATTATTATATTGTGATAATCAAGCAGCATTACATATAGCAGCCAATCCAGTTTTTCACGAACGTATGAAACACATTGAAATAGATTGTCATATAGTTCGAGAAAAGTTACAAGCTGGAATCATCAAACCGTGTTATGTTTCGACCAAAATGCAATTGGCAGATGTTTTTACTAAAGCTTTGGGAAGACAGCAATTTGACTTTTTGAAGAACAAGTTGGGTGTGATCGACATACACTCTCCAACTTGAGGGGGAGTATTAAGAGGATATTTTGGAGTAATAATTAGTTAGAATATATCTGAGATATTTAGGGAGTTGTTAGTATAGATTTGATTAACCGTATATTTTATTTATTTAAAAGATTTAGTTAGTTATATATATTTTTTCTATTTTTAGGTATTAGTTGATAGTTTGTATTCTGTTTAAACGGGTAAACCTGAATGAAGATCATACTTATCGATCCCAATTCTATTTCTATTTCTCATTCTTAATGGAAAAGGAAAATGAAGAAGGAAACGAGATGAAAACTAGAAAGTTGATGTCGCCGCCAATGGAAATCTTCGTCTGTTCTACTTGATATTGGTCGTCTGGTCCATTAGAAAAGGAAAATGAAGAACTGAACAATGAAATGAAATGGAAAAGGAAAATGTGAGACCATCAAACACGAACAAAAACACAAAGCAAACAAAACACTAAAATGGAAAGGATGAGATGTGAAATGATGTTCAGTCTAAGGCTATTCTACAGGTACACATACACCCTACACGTAGACACTGCGCAATGCGTGGTGTTGCAGACTGCAGATAGAGTCACAGAGGAGGAAAACTTGTGTTGGGGCGTTGGGCATGGGCAATGGGCAATGGCTGAATGAGGAGTGTTGGGCCTGGGCCACTCTTGCTATATATATATATAATCGATTTGGGTTGGATTGACACCGTCCTTTATCTACGGACCCAGTCCAAGATCGATCTTGGATTAGGACATCCCCAGATGAGAATCAGAGGAAGACATAAAACTGTTAGAAGAACTTGATTATGTCAAATACAGTTAAATAAAGATTTTTTCTTTTTAGATAGCTAGAGTATTTTTAGCTTTTTTTTTTTTTTAGGTTAACTACTCTGCAATGTTAGTTTCTATTTATCTGGTTATTTGTAAGCGGGTAAAAGTCAATTTCAGTATTCACTAATATCACCACTTGAAAACTCCCATTATTTATATTTATGGCTTAGTCGTTCTTCCATCAAATCTTTACAATTGTTATATGAGGTACCATTCGGCTTTATAGAGTAGCAATTTTTTAGTGATCAAATACAGAGAGTATGAGTGAAGACAAAACTTTAATGAAGATCCCTCACTTCGATGGTCACTATGATCACTGGAGTGAGCTGATGAAATTTTGCTCAGAGCAAAGGGTCAATGGAGTGTGGTAGAGATTGGTTTCTCAGAACCAGTGGAAGGAACAATGTTGAGGCACAAAAGGGCCACCTTGATGATTCTAGACTCAAAGATCACCAAGTAAACCATTACCTCTTCCAAAAAATTGATCGTATTGTCTTTGAACAATTCTTGGATCGTCGCACAACCAAGATTTTCTAGGACTCAATGAAGAGAAAGTTTGGTGGAAACCAAAAAGTGAAGAGTGAAGAAATCTCTTCTTAATGCATTAAGGAAAGAATTTGAGATCCTAGAGATGAAAAAGATGAAAGTATCACAAATTATTTTGTAAGAGTGATGATATTCTTCAACAAGATGAGAAGCAAGGGAGAAGATATGCCACACAAGAAAATTGTAGAAAATTTTTTGCATACCTTTAACGGAAAAATTTGCTTATGTTGTAGTATTTATTGAGGAATCCAAAGATAACATGTTCATCAATGAATTACAAAGTTCATTAGTGGTGCAGGAACAAAAATTTCGAAGATCCAGCATTAATAGAGAGGAGCAAGTTCTAAAAGTCGAAGGTCGAACGAAAATAAGTAACAGAAAAAGAGAAACTTATATGGGTAGAGGATGTGGAAGAGAAAGATCAACTTTGAACAAAACAACTGGCTTGGGTTTCTTAGATTCTTCCATAAGTAACAGGGGTAGAGGATGTAGAAGAGAAAGATCAACTTTGAACAAAACAACTGGCTTTGGGTTCTTAGATTCTTCAATAAGTAACGAGTGTCATGACTTAGGTCATCTTCAATATGAATGTTCATAGATGAATAAGGAATTGAATTATGCAGAGTTGGAAGAAGATGATGAAATGCTGCTATTGGCTCATATGGAAAGACATGAAGCAAAATGAAGTGATGTTGGGGTTCTTAGATTCTAGTTGCTCAAACCATATGTGTGCAAATGAATGTATGTTTACAAGCTTAGACAATATCTTTTCCCACACTGTCAAACTTGGAAATAATACAAGTATGAAAGTTACTGGAAAAGGTGTAGTGAAATTAACTTTGTATTGGGTTTGTTACACTATTAGTAATGTGTTTTGGGTACCTAAACTACAAAATAATCTCTTGAGCTTTGGACAACTACAAGAAAAAGGAGTAGCAAGAAAAAGGAGTAGCACTGCTATTCAAAGATGGTGTATGTACCATTTATCATCCTCAAAAAGAAAAAATGACAAAATCAATTATGAGTGCAAATTGGTTGTTCATTTTGCTTGCTGAACCATCTGCCACAACAAAGAAGATGCCTCCAAGTTTAAAATATGGATCAGTCAACACTTTGGCACCATCGTTATGGTTATCTCGGCTAAAAGGCTTGTGCTCCTTAAAATACTAAAACATGGTGAAATGCCTGCCCCAAATTGTAGCTCCAAACACCACCTATGAGGCATGTATGAAAGACAAGCAACATCTGACTCCATTTCTAAAAATGGGTAAATGGAGAGCAATTGAAAAATTGGGTCTTGTTCATGCATATCTATGCGGTCCAATCTCACCCGCCAGAAAAAGTATTTGTTGTGCTTTATAGATGATTTTTCAAGGAAGGCATTGAGTCATTTTCTTGTAGAAAAAATAAAAACATTTTATCATTTCAAATGTTTCAAAACAATGGTGGAAAAGAAAATTGGAATGCCTATAAAATGTTCAAGAACAGAGGAGAATTCAACTCTGCAAAATTCAACGATTTTTACAAACAACATGGAATGAAAAGACAATTGACCATAGCCTATACCCCACAACAAAATGGAGAGGCCGAATGCAAAAATCGCATCGTGATGAACTTAGTAAGAGCTATGTTGACCGAGAAGAGAGTGCCTAAAATTTATTGGCCTGAAGTAGTAAGGTGGAAGATTCACATTTTGAATCGATCACCCACTCTTGTAGTAAAAGACATCACACCAAAAGAGGCTTGGACTGAAGAGATACCATTAGTAGATTATTTGAGAGTGTTTGGATGTGTGGGACATGTTCATATTTCAGATGCCAAGAGAAGCAAATTTGAAGATAAAAGTGTAATATGTGTTTTATTTGGAGTCAACAGAGAATCCAAATGTTATAGAATGTTTCATCAAGCTACAAATAAAATTATAATAAGTCGTAACGTAGGTTTTGAGGAATATCGTGAATGGGATAAAAAAAGTTTGAAGGTGAAACAAAATTGGATTGGGGTAAAAATATTGAAATTGATGAGAACACAACCAAAGAAGGAGAAATCACAGAGGAAACAACTGAAACGGTTACGGAAACAATTGAACCAGTTGCTGAAAACAATTTTCCAGTACCTGTTTCATCAAATTTGACAATAAGGAGGAGAAAAATCGACATCCATCTGTATAGTTAGCAAAATATAATTCTGGTGAAAGCTTATGTGAAGAGGAAGAAAAAAAATATGGCATTCTTGATGATTTCAGATCCTCTGAATTTTGAGGAAGCTGTCAAATTCCCAAAATGGAGATTGGCTATGGATGAAGAAATCAAATCCATTGAAAACATGGAACTTGGTGGTTCTATCAACTAGTGCAAAGAAAATAGAAGTAGAATGGATTTATAAAACCAAGCTAAATGAGTCTGGAGAAGTTCATAAATACAAAGCAAAATTGGTGGTAAAAGACTACACACAAGAGCATGAAATTGATTATACGAAATTGTATGCACCTGTGGCCATAATGGATACGGTGAGAATGATCATTGCTTTTGCAGCCTAAAAAGGTTAGAAACTTTATTAGTTAGATGTCAAATCAGCTTTTCTATATGGCTAGTTAAAATAAGATATTTTTGTTGAACAACCAAAAGGCTATGAGAAGGTGTTCAAACTCCAAAAGTCTCTTCAAGGATTAAAACAAGAACCTAAAACTTGGTTTAGTCGAATAGAATCCTACTCCATCAAGGAAGAATTCAAAAGTAGTTCCAGTGAGTAACACTCTTCATCAAGAGGAAGGGAGGTAAAATTCTAAGCATTTATGTTGATGATCTTTTATTTACTGGAGATGATGAAAAGTTATTTGACAAGATTAAAAGTAACATGAAGAAAAAGTTTGATATGATTGACTTAGGTTGGGTGAAATTTTTCCTTGGAATAGAGGTAATAGGTTGGATGAAATTTTTCCTTGGAATAGAGGTAATAGGTTGGATGAAATTTTTCCTTGGAATAGAGGTAATACACGGATTAAATGGTATTTTTAGATGTCAAAGAAAGTATGCGACTGAAGTTTTAAATTGATTTGATATAGAAAATTACAATTCTGTTTGTAATCCTATTATTCGAGGACATAAAACTTACAAAGATGAGAATGATACAAAAGTAGATATAACTTTGTATAAACAAATAGTGAGAAGTCTGATGTATCTCACAGCTACTCGTTCTAATCTCCTGTTTGTTGTAAGTTTGATTAGTCGTCTTATGGCATGTCCAACACAACAACATTTTGCAATAGCTAAAAAGGTTTTAAGGTACTAGAAAGGTATTGAGATTATGCTGTATTTTATAGAAACGGAAGAGTTAGTGATTTAATTGAATTTACTGATAGTGACTATGTCGGAGACATGGAGGATTGCAAGAGTACTTCAAGCTATGTGTTTATGATGAGTGGAGGAGCAGTAGCTTGGTCTTCTCGTAAGCAGCCTATAGTAACCATATCAACCAGAGAAGCTAAGTTTGTTGCTGCTAGTGTCTGTGAATTTCAAGCTGTTTGGATGAGGAGGATACTCAAAGAGATTAATCACTCTCATAGAGAAGGAACAAAGCTAATGTGTGATAATACTTCAAATATTAAGCTATCCAAAAATCCATTTCTACATGAACGTTCCAAACACATAAGAGTAAGATTTCACTTTCTTAGAGATCTTACAAAAGGAGGAACCGTTAATTTATTATTTTGTGGTACCCAAAATCAACTTGCTGATTTATTGACAAAGCCTCTCAAATTATATGCATTCAGAAGTTGCGTGAAGAACTTGGTGTGCAAAGTTTTTCTAACTTGAACTAATTCTTGACAAAAAAAAATAATAAGTTCAAGGGAGGAATTGTTAGAGTTGATTATTCAAATACGGTTAAATAAAGATTGTTTCTTTTGGGATAGTTAGAGTATTTTTAGCTATTTATTTTATCTACTCTGCAATATTTATGGTTAGTTTCTATTTCCCTAGTTATTTGTAAGGCAAAGCCAAGTTCAGTATTCAATAATATCATCACTTGAAACTCCAATGGTTTATGTTTATGGCTTAGTCATTATTCTATAAAAACGTTACAGAAATAGCCTTTAGAAGCCGCTATGGACATTATGAGTTCATAGTTATGTCTTTTAGTTTAACTAATGCTCCTACAATGTTTATGAAATTGATGAATAAAGTGTTTAAGGAATTCCTAGACACCTTCATGATTGTGTTCATTGATGACATCCTGGTGTATTCTAAGTCTGAGGTGGAGCTGAGGAACACCTATGGAAAGTTTGAACCCTACATAGAACTCACTAGTTGTATGTCAAATTAATGAAGTTCGAGTTCTAGCTGCAGGAGGTGGCCATCCTTGGCCACGTGGTGTCCAATCAGGGAATAACTGTGGACCCTACTAAGATCGAAGCAGTTTTGAAATGGTCTAGACCAATCACTATCGAAGTAAGAAGTTTTCTGGGTCAAGCAGGCTATTATAGAAGGTTTATACAAGATTTCTCTAAGATCTCAACTGCTTTGACACAGTTAACCAAGAAGGAGAGACCTTTTGTCCGAACACCAGAGGGTGAATAGAGTTTTCTAGAACTAAGAAAGAGGTTGGTTACTGCCCTTGTACTTATAGTACCTGATAGATCAGGTGGACTTACATTTTACAGCGACACCTCAAGAAAAGGGCTAGGCTGTGTACTCATGCAAAAGGGCAAGGTGATAGCCTACGCCTCTAGACAGTTGAAAGAGTATGAGCACAACTACCCCACCCACAATCTGAAGCTAGCAGACGTGGTGTTCGCATTGAAAACCTAGCATCACTACCTGTGTTTTTTTTCTCTTTTTGTTTTACAGTAGATTGCTGCCAATTGTTCCTTTTTTTTGTTTGACAGCAAATTGCTGTCAATTTTTCCTTTTTCATGTTTGACAACAAATTGCTGTCATCTTTTGTATTGGTGCTTTGACTTGAGGTTTCGTGAGAAAGTGCACAAAAATTATATCAAATTCATGCAAATGAAGGAGAACACGGTACTCTATGGCAGCATTCACCGAAAGTGAATAACTTTGTCACTAATCACAACCTAGTATGTACCAAGTGAAATTAGCCTCCGTACTACGTTGAAATTAGCCTTTTTAACCATATCAGAATCCTCCTAATTCATCTACAAAAATTGGCTACTTCTTTGGGGCACGTGATTCATTCATGATAAAAAGTAAAATAAAATCTTTAAAAAAAAAAAAAAACTATCATTCTAAAATATGTGAAGATAACTATTTAAAAACGACTATAAGTGCATAAATAAAAAGAGAAGAAAAACTAACTTGGCTTCCCCAGAGTTTATTACCTGTTATCATTCCTTGTCAGCTCCTTTTGCCACAAAATGTTTTATTTTTCAGCTTTTTAAGCTCAAAGAGGCAATGCCTCTTTTTACTTCTCCACCTAAATACGACTTGAGTCTCTGTCCATTCACTGTGAAAGGTCTCCTTTCATCTCCATGTTTTATCGTTATTGCCCCATAGGGAGTGACTTCTTCAACTATAAACGGATCGGACCATCTTGATTTTAATTTTCCAAAGAATAATTTCAGCCTTGAGTTGAATAGCAACACTCTTTGTCCTTTGTAGAATTCTTTGGGCCTAATTCTTATGTCATGCCACATTTTTGTTTTTTCTTTGTACATCTTAACATTTTCGTAGGCAACTCATTTAGTTGCATTCACAAGTCTCCATCTTTTGCATAGTCAAAATTTAACTTCTTTAATGCCCAAAATGCTTTATGCTCCAATTCTAGGGGTAGATGGAATGCCTTCCCAAAAACTAGCTTGGAAGGAGACATTCCTAAAGGGGTTTTGAAGGCTGTTCGGTATGCCCATAATGCATCATCAAGTTTCACCGACCAATCTTTCCTGTTGGGTTGTACCACTTTTTCCAAAATACTTTTAATTTCTATGTTGGAGACCTCTGCTTGTCCATTAGTTTGTGGATGATAAGGTGTCGACACTCTATGTTTTACATTGTATCTCTCTAAAAGACTATTCATCATTCTGTTCATAAAGTGCATTCCCTCATCGCTAATTAATGCTCTTGGTACACCAAACCTAGTGAATATGTTTCTTTATAAAAACTTGAGTACGGTCTTCCCATCATTGGATGGAAAAGCTATTGCTTCCACCCACTTCAATACATAGTTGACAGCCACTAAAATATATAAATTCCCATAAGATGGCAGAAATGATCTCATAAAGTCAATGCCCCAAACATCAAAAAGTTCCACTTTTAAAATTGAATTCAGGGGTAGCTCATTTTTTTTTACTGATATTTCCCGTCCTTTGACATTGATCACAACCCTTGCAAAATTCTTTTGCATCTTTAAAAATTATTGGCAATAGAAACTCGATTGAAATACCTTGGCTACTGTCTTTTGCCCTCCAAAATGGCCTCCATATGGGGATGCATGACATTATTCAAGAATTGTTGGTATTTCATTGTCTGGAATGCATCTTCTCATTATGTCGTCTCCACATTGTTTAAAAAGAAAAGGTTCATCCCAAATGTAACTTTTGGATTCGTGGAAAAACCTCTTCCTTTGTTAATAATTTTTCTCTTCGGGTATGATGGTACAAGCCAAAAAATTTGCTATGTCTGCATACCATGGAGTTGTTGCCATTCTGCTACTGCTGTTTATGCCAAGCAGCTATTCATCCGGAAATGCATCATCAATTTATTTGCTATTGACCTTTTCTTCCATGTTCTCCATTCTAGATAAGTGATCCGCTACGCGGTTATTAGCTCCTTTCATGTCCACGATTTCTATCTCAAACTCTTGTAATAGTAGAATCCATCTAATTAATCTTGGCTTGACATTCAGTTTCATCATTAGGTGCTTGATTGCTTCGTGGTTAGTGTGCACTTTCACCTTCGCTCCAAATATATAAGCTCTAAATTTTTCAACAGCGAATACTACCGCCAACAATTCTTTTTCAGTGGTTGTATAATTCACTTGAGCCTCATTCAACGTTTTGCTTGCATAATAGATAGGATGAAGTACCTTCCCCTTTTTCTATCCTAACATTGCCTCCACAGCATGGCCACTAGTATCACACATCAACTCAAATGGTGAATCCCAATCGGGTGTTGACATTATAGGAGCTGTGGTCAGCACTGTCTTTAATGCTTGGAAGGCAGTCATGCATTGTTTGTCAAAAACAAATTTTCTATTTGTCTCCAACAAACTACACAACGGTTTTGAAATCTTGGAGAAATCTTTAATAAACCTCCTATAAAACTCTGTATGGCCCAAAAAGCTTCTTATACCTTTAACTGACGTAGGTGGATTCAATCTTTCGATAGCTTCTATCTTGGCTATATCAACTTCTATTCCTCATCTTGAGATCTTGTGGCCTAGCATTATTCCCTCATTGACCATGACATTTTTCCCAATTCAGTACAAGATTATTCTCTTCACATCTTTGTAGAACCTTCCCCAAATTGCACAAACAAGTCTCAAAGATTCTCCATAAACCGAAAAGTCATCCATGAATATCTCCATAAATATTTCTACCATATCTGAAAAATGGCCATCATGCAACGTTGAAATGTTGCTAGAGCATTACATAGTCCAAAGGGCATTTGTCTAAAGACAAAAATTCCATATGGGCATGTAAATGTGGTTTTCTCTTGATCTTCTGGACCGATTGTAATTTGATTGTATCCCAAATAACTATCCAAGAAGCAATAATGTGACTTTCCAGCAAGCCAATCAAGCATTTGATCAATGAATGGTAAGGAAAAATGATCCTTACGTGTCGCTTTGTTTAGCCTTCTATAATCCATGCAAATTCTCATCCATTCACTATTCTAGTGGGGATCAACTCATTGTTCTCATTTTCCATTACTGTTATCCCTCCTTTCTTTGGAACGTATTGAATAGGACTAACCCAGCTGCTGTTTGCAATTGGATGAATTATTCCATAATCCATGCAAATTCTCCATCCATTCACTATTCAAGTGGGGATCAACTCATTGTTCTCATTTGCCATTACTGTTATCCCTCCTTTCTTTGGAACACATTGAATAGGACTGACCCAGCTGCTGTTTACAATTGGATGAATTATTCTAGTATTTAGCCATTTGAGAATCTCCTTTCTAACGACCTCCTTCATCATGGGATTTAATCGTCTTTGTTGCTCAATGGATTTAAATTTTCCTTCCTCCAATTGTATCTTGTGCATGCATAGTGAAGGACTTATTCCTTTTATATCCGCCAATGTCCAAGCTATCACCCCCTTATGCTTCTTCAATATTTCTAGGAGCATATCTTCTTGAGTCGAAGATAGTGTCGCTGAGATGATGATGAGTAGTGTCTTCTTGTCACCTAAATAAGCATATTTAAGGTTAGGACGTAGTGGTTTTAAGTCCAGCTGTGACGCTTCCTCAATAGAAGGTTTCATCGGTGAACTCTTTCTTCCCTCACATTCTAGTGACTCAAAAGTTCTGCTGAATTCACCTAAAATTGCTAACTGTTATATTCTGTCATTCCATCTACTATCTTCTTCCTGCTCACTTTCCCCATCATCCCATTCCTCGGTCGCTGGTTGTTTTGTCAATTCATATACTACTGAGCATTTTTCTGTCACTGCTGGATATTTCATGCTATTGTTGATATTAAATTCAACTTTTTGATCACCCATTCTTAATGTGATGGTTTCTTTGTAGACATCTACTAATGTTCTTCCGGTCTTTAAAAATGGCCTCCCCAAAATAATTGGTACATCATGATCGACTTCATAATCTAAAATGATAAAATCTGCAGGAAATATGAATTTATCAACTTGAATTAAGATGTCCTCAATCTTTCCTTCGGGATAAGTGATGGACCTGTCAGCTAGTTATAAGGTGACTATAGTCGGTCTAGCCTCTCCGATCCCCAACTTCTTGTAAATGGATAGAGGCATTAAGTTGATGCTTGCTCCCAAGTCACATAATGCTCTTCCTAGCTCCTTTCCTCCAATTGATACGGGAATAGTGAACGACCCTGGGTCTTTCTCCTTTAGTGAGAGATCTTGTTCTTCAATATTGCACTACACTCTTCATTTAGTGACACCACCTTAAATTCTTCAAATTTTCTTCTATTAGTGAGTACATCCTTCATGAATTTCACATAATTTGGCATTTGCTTCAAAACTTCCACCAGTGATATGTTTATATGAATTTCCTCCAGAATATTCATAAACTTCTCAAAATGGGCTTCCTTCATTTTTTTTTTCTTTGTGTAAAAGGAGGTGCTGGTATTATGTTCTGCTCTCTTGTCCACTGCTGGCTGTTGTTTGCATTTTAGGCTGCTCCTCGCATAATCCTTGTTGTGTTCTTTCTGTACAGCAGCTTTCTCATTTCTCTTATGTGTATCAGCAGCTTCTTGGGAATGACTATTACCTTGTTCTGCACTTTTTTCTCTCCTGCTAGGTGTTTTTTTTCCACTTCTCAACTCTATTTCTTGACATTGCTCTTTGCCTTCTCTTTTTGGTGTTTCGGTGTCGGCTGGGAGCTTCCCAAAAGGCCTATTTCATAACTCAGTTGTTAACTGACTTACTAGAACTTCTAAATTTCGCAATGAGGTTTGTTGACTTTGTATCACAGCATCATTTTTAGCCATATATTTCTTTATTAGGCTCTCAATAGATATTCCCGATGTGTATTGAGCTTGGCTAGTTCCTTTCCCTTGGGTGTTGACTTGTTGAGAACTATAAGCCAATTGATTTTGTAATCCAAAACCCGGAGGGTAATTTTCTTTAGGTAGCATTTGTTGGTTGTATGAGTCTTGTCCCTTCCATGAGAAGTTTAGATGATTTCTCCACCCCAGATTATAAGTATTTGAGAAGAGATTATTTTTTGAGTTGCCTTGACTAGCTTGATTCCCCACATAAAAATTTGAGGCCGGATTGCTTGGACATTGATCAAAAGTGTGTTCCTCTCCACAATATACACAAGATTCGGCTGTTGTCTGGTTAATTACAGCAGCTGTATGGACTGATGCTTTGACCATGGAGTCTTGTCCCAACGCTAGATTTTGTAAAATCTTATTCACCGAAGCTAGTTGAGCGTTGATAGAAGACAAAGCATCAACTTCAAGTACTCCTCAGGTTTTCTTTCCTGGGTTGCTTCTCACATCGGCCCATTGACAATTGTTAGATGCTATTCTCTCTAAAATCTCATATGCTTGATTGTATGTCTTTGACAAAATTGCTTCATTGGCGGAAGCATCAACTACTTGTTTAATAACAATATTTGATCCATTGTAGAAAGTCTCCATTTGTATACAATGAGGTAGTCCATGGTGAGGGCACTTTCTAAGCATCTCCTTAAATCTCTCCCAAGCTTCACTTAGTGTCTCGTCTTCAAACTATTGTAAAGCAACAATCTCATTTCTGAACCATGCGTTTCTAGTGGGTGGAAAATACTTGATAAAAAATTTATCTGCTAGACTATTCCAAGAATCAATTGTTCCTGGTGCTAAGGTATCCAACTATGATTTAGTACCATCCCTCAATGAATAAGGGAATAAGCTTAGTCTAATCACGTCTTTATCCACTCCTTGGAATCGAAATGAGTCACTAACTCCCAAAAATGACTTTTGGTGTAGGTGAGGATCTTTCGACGGTAGTCCATGAAATTGCCCAATGGTTTGCAACATTTGAAACATCACAGGCTTTAGCTCAAACGTGGTTGCTTGCATTTCGGGTCTAATAATGCACGGATTTAGCTATTCCACAGTGGTGTGCATATGCTCGAATCGTTCTTTCTCTGTCATATGCTAAATGAATGGCATTGGTAGTAATTCTCTCTTGATTAGCCATCATCGCCTGATTTTCAAACTCCCGATTCAACTAGGCTCCAAGTTTTATTTGTTATATATTCTGTTCTGTCATTTTCCTTTCTCCTTCAACCTTCGTCTAAATGTTCTCTCTATT